ATGTTTGTTTGGCGCTGTAGGCCAGCCGATGAAAGGGACACAGTCGAATATTGTCAATTGTGGGAAGTTTGTCTTGTATGTACTCTGATGTTTCTCTGCTTTTTGATCTCGGTGTGGTCACTCTAACTTTGTGTTTTCTATGTACAGATGGTTTTTGTTACAAGAAAGTTCTTGTTTTTCATTTGCACATGATGCTTAGATTGGTCTCTTATCCCCTATCTCAATATTTCAAAATTTGAGTACCAAAATCTCCTTCATACCTACATTTTGTGAAAGAAGGAAGCACTCGAAAGTAGCCCTAGTATGATAGCAAATGTCAACAACAACCACCTACTTGCGAAACTGTCTTGGCTATGGCTTAGGAGGCTGTACTGATGATTCCTGTTTCTAACTGCACGCAAACCGGTTTATGTTTACAGCTAAGGGATGAAACACAGACTGCATCGTAACATGCCTTCTTACATAAGACAATTAGTCTAACCCATTCTAATTTAATTTTTCATCTTTCACGGATTGATTACAAGCAAGCTGATGGCGGTTTTGATTTTCTTGCATATGCCGGTACCAATTTTCCATCGAAACGAATGAAACGAGTTGTAAAGGGTCAATGTGTTATTTATTCGCAAATCTGCAGTTTCTTCATGCTATTTACTCATAAATGTACGATTTTTTTTTTTCAGAATTACCGACAAGAAGCCGGGGTACTTACACAACGTGTTGTAAAAATTGGACGAAAACGGCGTGTTTTGTGGTATTTTGTTTGTTCAAATGATTCTCATATGGTTAGCTGCTGTTCTGGTAATACCGCGAAAAGAAGTGGCCCTGTTGTATTGTGCTGAGTGAAAATCATTCGATATTGTCTGAGGAGGAGTACGTGCTTGTACTTGACGACAAACGGAGTGGCGCAACGTCGAACACGAAGCGCAGGAGGAGGAGGGCGTACTTGTGGCGGTGCTGCGCCGCGAGGTAGCGCAGGATTGCGGCATGACGGTGGCCACGCTTGGCTACACCATGGTGATCTGTGGCAATAGTGATGATCCGCAGCATAGGTATCGAGGACGCATCGAAAAGTTAGTCTTAGTTTCATTCATTTCAATCATGTGACACGTAAGAACTAACTCGATCCAGAGCTGGCGGTATGCCCTGGTGTTCGTGGAATAGAAAGTTATAATAAGAAGGAATGAAATAAAAAAAAAAAAAGAAAAGAGGTGGTAAGAAATGAAAATTAGAAAATCTGTGAAATTATTAATGTGTGGGATTGTGATTGTCCTAGTGGTTGCGGAAGTCTCGCGAAAAGCCAGCGCGTGTTGGAGAAATTGTGAAATAAGTGGCCGAACGAGAATGGAGATTCGTGGTGTAGTGGTTTAGCGCGTTGCATCCTGATTTAGAGGCGAGTGGTTCAATTCCCCACCAGTTACACCTCCCTTTTGCAAAATGCCTCATTGGCTAGTTGGTAACTCCTTTGTTCGTGATCTTGGAGTAGCAGTTTTTGGGGCAAACTGAAACTGTGTCAAATCGATTGAAGCCTTACCAAAATGCTTTTGCCATGAGAAATGTTAAGTTGGTAATTTCTTCAGGAGACAAAACGAACATTAGAATCTCCCAGCAGGCCGACCACTAAGCCATGCACTGTTGACTAAAACCACTGGAAAAATTTCCAGTTTTTTAGCTACCTGATCTCAGTGTATGAGTTATCAGTTGTTCCAAGTGCAAAATGCCAAGCGGAAAAATGAGATACAGTTGTTTACTGTATCGCAGTCACAGTTTTTAAGTTCTAATAGTATTTGTTCGCCGGAGGGGAGGGGGATATAAAAACGCCAAAAACTTACAGCTGGAATATCCGGAAATGGTCTTTAATTCGTATTTAAGTTCTACATCTATGCATTAATCAGTGCTGTATCCTTTGATTCTTAGCGTGTTGGCGATTTTGACCTTAATGTGTTTTGAACGGACTACCAAACGAACGGTTTTTCCGACGAGGTTTTAGCTGTTGGACAAGGTTTTAGCCGTTTCAAGTTGTTTTTGTTAAAATTTCAGCTTCCCAGCTTTTTGAACACCTTTCCCTCATCTCGATTAGTACTTTTTCTGGGCCACGGAAGGAAATAAATTATATGAAGCTGCCCTTAAATGTTTGAAATTTCAGAGGTGGTGGATGTGTCCAGGCTTTCGTCTGAGTGTGTCCTCATGAGGGTACAAACTTTTATAAATCTCTTATATGCCACAGCAACAGTGGTAGCAGCAAATTGTGTTCATTTTGTGGGGGGCATAAATGACTGCAAAATTAGCACCAATTGATGTGATTCAGTACATTCACACTGGGGCAATGAAGGAGGAAGGGGGGCAGCTAGTCTCACAATGTTGCGACTCCGTCGCTTGCGCCCTGCAACCTCATCCGTTTCTTCAACTCGTCACTTTTGCAGGGTAAAATTTGGAGTACCGATTGAAGAGGCTTTCGCGCACGACATACCTGCCACTTTATTGGTTAGTATTACTTTTGTTATTATTATTGTTATTATTATTCCGCCATTGTTATTAATATCATTATTATTTTTGTGGTTACATAGCAAAAATTTGTTTTTTCCTTTCATCTTGACATGTGCCTTAATATAATACGTGTGCTAGAAAGAAGAAAAACAATTCATGATGGTAATTGACGACGATGATAATTTTATTAATATTTGCTTTAATTATTTTTGTTGTCGTTATCAAAGTTGTTGTTAACATCACTGTTATTATTGTCACTACTAATATTGTTGCTGTTGTTATTATTACTATTATTGCCGCTATTATTGTTATTATTGTTACTATGATCATTGTTATTATTGTTATTATTATCACTATTATTTTTATTACCATTATTGTTATCATTATTATTACTGCTATTATTATTATTATTGGCATTATTATTAACATCATCATTATTGCTATCGTTATTATTATTATCAGTATTATTATTGTCATTATTATTATTATTATTATTATTATTATTATTATTATTATTATTATTATTATT